GGGGGTGATATGGATTCATATCTTTCCTAAGGTTTCTTCCACGTAATGTAACGAACTTGACTGGAATTCGAACTCGGCTCTTCGATTTATTAGACCGGTATCCATTATTGTTTCAAGATGAGTATATAATCTGGCACGATCAACAGTTTGAAGAAAGTCAGTACACACAAACTCTCGGTCACGATGACTTGTGATTTCATGCTAACACCAACTATTAATTGCTTCCAAACAGTTCCCTCTAGCCATTTATACACACAAGTCTTCGGTCAAGGTATAGATTTCAGGTGCTTTCCAAAGGTTCTACACGCTGGGGTCGAACCCCTTACCCGTCCCAAGATAACATCAAGAAGTGACCTTCATGACAAATCGACCATGGTGAGTTTCGAAATCCGAGTCTTATGATCGGAAAATGAATGTTCTAACTCCACGGCCATAGGGATCTTCCAAGCGTAGCTTAGATGTGGCACAAGGCCGAATTTATGGGGCACCCAAGTGTTGTGGATTCCGAGATGAAATTCGGTCTCCAATGAATGACAAACGCAGGCATGAAATATAACAAATAAATGTATTTACACAATAATACAATTGGTAATACGGCTAGTAAATCCAGAAACGTGGTTAGTAGCAATAATAATATATATACATATACAGTCTGATAAATTAGTCTCAAAGTAGGACTTCCTTAGAGTCTACGTGCTTGTAACTGTGACTTCTACAAGCGGTTACCTCACACTATTACTCTACCTTCAACTCAATCACAATCTCTCTACTCTGATTGACTCTGGGTATTTAACGGCAGCAGTCCAAGTACACACTGGTCGAGTCCACTTGTATGAAAAAGGGGTGGACCCCATAACACCAAGTGAGGATCGAACTCACTACTCAGTCGTAATTGTTCTAACTTGCTAACCATTACAGCGCCTCGAGATGCCCAAACACCTCGGCCACATAGTACTGGATTGGCCCAGTAGGGAATGGAAAAGCAGAAAAATATCGCCACACATTTTCTCATTATCATCTTTACTATGATCTTGATATTGTACATTGATGTAGCGAATAAAACTCGTATAAAATATTTCCAAGCTGTGTAGTGAACTTGGCATCTAACGACCTGACAAGGTTGAAGTTTATATATCACCTGCATTTTTAATTATCCGTCATTTAAAAATAATTATCGAGTTTGTTTAAATACACCTTTGAGCAAATTATTTGAAACAATCACTTTAGTTTTCTTTCTTTAACCATATGGTCAGTTTTAGACCCACTGGAGTGACAGGGTGTAATAGATTTCTATTTGTTCCTCAGATTAGGTCATTTGCAGAGGTGTGCAGTAATATGAATCTATTTTTGGGGTGTATGATGAAATTTGTTTGGTCTTGACAAATATTGCATCATTCGAGATTGCATCAGATTTTCATCCGTCCAAGAAACTATTGTCTCGACTGTCGATTAGTTGTTCTACAGCCATTATCTGTGGTGGACGTTACTCCAAGGAAGCTTACGAAAATTGTAACGCTGCACGAACACACTGGCAAGCATTACTCATGAGCAACTCAAAGTACTATAGACTGTCCAAGAAACTGTGCTGATTTAAATCCAATCGAGAATCTGTGGTCAAACTGCAAGGAACAACTTTGTTGAATTAACATACGAAGTACTAACATGTGCACTGGGTCATGCTTCATTGGAAAAATACAAAAAAAATAATAACGGTATTCTTCGTTTTGTTTCAATTAATTTTCACAAGGTGATATATATATATATATGTGTGTGTGTGTGTGTGTGTGTGTGTGTGTGTGTGTGTGTGTGTCAGCCAGAGCTTCTACCACTGCGCCATCTTCACTCGACAGAAGAAATCAGTGAAATCTAGTGTATACAAATGTAAACAAACGCCAAGCAGCCAAAGTGCTCCATTCATTTTACTGAAGAGCTTCGCATTTACGCAGTTGACCGTTGTTTTTAGAATTAGCGTGTCGTTCAACAGTGCTCAATTGAAAATATATTTTCAAGAGCTAAATATATATATATATATATATATATATATATATATATATATATATATATATATATATATATATATATATATATACATGCTTAAATCTACTCAAATATTTCGTTAAAATCATTTTCTCACATTTTTCTGAATTTGTTTATTACGTTGATAGAAATTTACATGTTTTCTAAACTCTGTTGCCATGCTAGTAAATAATTTTTATCTAATATTTACACGTACTTTTTTTTTTAAATTTAAAGCATCTTTATAGCAGAAGTTACAGACCCCGCTCTATCTGAATCCGGTCAGGTAGACATCTGTATTCTGTTTCTGTGTTTTAGTATTACCAATTCAAAAGAATGCAACTGAAATGAAGAGTTCTAAAGATATTGTCTTGCAGCAGATTTATCTGTCTGCAGAAGCAAGTGAAAGACGACAGATATTCAGTTTTGAGTCATTCCTCACCCTTCTTGTTTCTTGAATTGACAGAAATTCTGAAAGGCATTTGGTAAATGCAAAGATGCGCATGTGTATTAGTGAGCACATTCATGTATTAATTGGAATAGGCAGGAGTTAAGGCATGTAGACACACGGACACAAGCAAGAAGAGGAAACATACGTATTGACCTTGATGCACAGTACTTATGACCACGTGTTTGCAAAGTCTAACTAGATTATACCCATAGAAAAATGGTTTAATTTGACGTGTTCAATAAGTTTATCACTTACGCCTGTAAAAGGCGTTGAAAATCAATCCAATTTTAAATGCTAAATTCTGTGGCACGCATGATCAACCCAAGATAATGACACAATACAATCTCTCGAAAGAGATAGCTTTCTCTCTGTCTGTCTGTCTGTCTCTCTCTCTCTCTCTCTCTCTCTCTATATATATATATATATATATATATATATATATATATATATACGAAGATGTGCTATAAAGTTCATGAACTGACTATGAAGGAGTAATGGTAGAACTGTGAAATCTTGAATGCATTGATTTCAACTCATCTTATTAATAACTGCATTGTTTCTTTCCAGGTCAACTGACTGTTCATAGAAGTCTTCAAATGTAACTGATATTGACCTCTCTTAAAAATGGACAAAATTTGCCATCGTGGTGTTATAAAGTACCTACAGAAAAAAGGGGGTTTAATCCCAAGGGCATTTATGCTGTCAGGATTGCTACATTATGAGATGACACTTCAGCTTTATCAACAATATAAAAGTATCAATAAAATCAATAATTTGACACTTGCTCCATTTCTTGTCTATCAGATTTATAATCATCATTATTATTATTAGAACAAGCATGTCTAATATAGGAAGTGAAATATAAATAGATTTCGAATTCCGATCGAGTTCATTGCATTCACTTTCTCACAAATACTCTTAGGAAAGATATAAATCCATTTTTCTTCCACCAGTTAAAGATTACATAGCAGGTCTCTAGCCGTGATTGGTAAACAATCTAGGAGAAAGGATTCTGTAGATCACAATGAACTGTTGAATGCGGTTGTAGATTCTACCTGCAGTCGATGAATTATGGTTGGTATATTTAGAGGGGGAAAGTGCTCAGTATCAGATATATAAGCGTTTATAGACATTGCAGAGCTAGAAATCAACAAGGCATATAAATGAATTTCTATTATTCATGGTCATGACTTCCAGATTATTTTTCAGTTATTTATTTGTTTTGTACATTTCTATACACTTTTCCTTCAACTCCTCAACCAACAACCTAGAGCTCATAATCATAATTCAATTTATCTTATTTATATACACACGTCCTCCACCTACCCAACAAGCACAAATAAGCAATCTAGGAGTCTTGACTATAAATAAACCTAAGCATCAACCATAAGCAACAAAAAACAGGAAGGGGCGGTTTCCACTTTCTTCCGCTTCCCTTATTCTATTGTTGAACAATCTGTCGAAGGGAGCATCTTTTTCTGTAGTACCATTTCTGGAATGTTCAGGTCGGTAGACGAAAATAAATAAATAAATACAATTTCTCTCCTTTGATTCTGGTTTTTATTTGGGCTTGAACAACTGTTGGCGCTGCTAAGAAATATATACGCAATCCATAGCAGGACCAAACGCATTTACGAAATGTGGCTTAGTCTGGTATAAGGTCATTGGGAGCGCAGCCAGAATCGTGCTTAAGACTGTAGTAATTTACGTAATTTATACGCGGACTATTGTGCTTTCCACTGAATCTAAGTACACACTGACCGACCTAGGGATTGAACTTACAATTACTATGTCACCAAAATCACGAACCAACGTTTTAATCCACTAGGCTATTGAGGAAATGGCGTGAGCAGTAACTGAACATTACTAAAAAAAATAAGACGAGTTATCTCCCCCTAGATATGGACAATAGAATGAAAACAATCCATCCTCGTCGATTAAATAAAGGGCTCACTTCCAGATTTTATGACGATTACCTGGATCGACATACACATGATAAAGGCCAGAGGGCTCAGCAGCCGAAACGTTGTATTGACAACAAAAAGATGAGGTCAGTAGTCTGTGTATAAGTAATATAAATAATGATAATTCCTCATTCCAGAAATTCAGACAAAGACTGATATAACGGTCTGCAAAAACTCTTCGCTAACAATTAGTCTATGGGGGGGTACCATTCATCTTAGTTTAATATCGATTCATCTTTTACTTATTTCTCTCCTTTCTCTGTTTCTTTCTATTTATTCCCCAACTCTTTCTTTGACACAATCTCTCTCTCTCTCTCTCTCTCTCTCACACACACACACACACACACACACACACACACACACACACACACACACAAACACATATCTTTGTTTTTTACCTTCTCTTAAATTTTCTCTCTCGTTCTTTTTCTAACACTAACTTTCTGTCTTTCGCTTTTTCTTTCTCTTCTACTCTTTCTAGCATTTTTAGGACCCTTCTTTCTTTATTCGTCTTATCAGTCGTTTTAGTTGTACTAGTATCCGTCACTATTTATCAATTTTCCTTCTAATTAGACAAAGAAATGAATCCTATCATTGCTGTATGATCCGCTGTTATAAGAGAGAAAAGAATATCAATTAGTTTTAGGAAAAGACCCTAAGAGTATACAAATAAGTCCATAATTAACCTTTTATTTATTTATGCATTAACACGGAAAATATAACTAGAGAAGGGTAAAACGATAAAGTGCGGTAATTTTAGGCGTATATTTGACAAGTCAACGATACAACCAGACAATGCATCGGCTGAATCGTTCTGTAAAAAGAAAAAGAAATAAATGACCAAAAAATAGTGAGTTGACCGGGGATAATAACGCGACCGTGGATAGTAGCGACTAATGCAAACACGAACACAAAAATATACGGAAAAAAAATTACACCAATGATAAGTATATAAAAAAGAAAAAAAATGAGAATTAGCAGCTGAAGTGTGGAGGGTTAGATCCGCCGATGAAACTCTGGAGTCGGAATGCGGAAGGTAACACCAGTCAGCTAAGGGCAAACTTTACTTATCTTAACCATTTATACATATATATATATATATATATATATATATATATATATATACACATGAGTTGAAGTTCAAATGCAGATCAGATATGGATATAAATCCGACAAGATGATAATATATAGATAGATAGATAATTATATTTATATATCGAGATATATATATATATATATATATATATATATATATATATATATATATATATATTATTATTATTATTATTATTATTATTATTATTATAAAAGATTATATCAAAAACGTTGAAATCACTACACAATAGCTTTCGTGTTTCGGCAACTTTTTGCCGCTTCAGGCGATGGTAAGTAACTGGTGATTAAAGGATTTTTAAGAAAATTTCAAAAGCAAAGTGTTACGTCTTTTCTAAAAGATGAAGTGATGGGGGTGGGTGAGAAAACACAAGGTCAATATTAAAAATAGACTTATGGGTTTGTTTTCATCAACCAATTAAAAGTCAGATCTACGCTAAATAGAAAATTAAGCTCAGAGGGTGGGGGTGAGGGGGGTATTTTTTCATGACATGATAAACCGGAACTTATACAGGTCCTCATTGACAATTGCGGAAAACAAGCAACAAATTTATTGTGATTGTAGACAAATATGATAGGTTCAATTTTTCAAAGGACGCTGAGGGGAGGGGTAGGAAGATAATCAGACGTCGAATTTATTTCACCAAAATTTTTTTTGTAAAAATCCAGATTCAGGAAGCTTCTTAAAGGAACTTATAGATAAAATTAAAAATATGGAACATCTATATCAGATATTTACAATACTAACTGGACGGCAATACATAGCAATACTAAATCTGAATAAACAAAATAAGATAATTACTCATAGAGGGGGGGGCGTTATTTACTTATAAATTATGGTCATAAGAAACGGTACTACGTAATTCTTAAAATTTAACTATATTGTAAGGTAACAGATAAACTCTGTCAGCAACTTACAGTTAATTCACTTCTTTGGTTTAACAGATATTTTTTCAAGAAAAGGATAATTTTTGGTTTTTCATGTAAGCATAAGAAACAAGGTTCATTTAAAGATTTACAGGTTATGGCCTTTTTTAGTGTTTTCTATTTTACGGTAGGTGTTTAGTTACCTTCTTTTAATTTCTAAAAATATCTTAAAAGGGACGTCATATTTTTATAAGCGTTATTGGTGAAAGATAATATATATTGATACCACTTAGTTTTAAAAGAATTCTTGATACTACCAATACAATTTTTTTTAACTGTTGGGTTTTTTTTTTATAGTAGAAACAGTACTTAGGTAAACAAGTGAGTCAGTTTGATAATGTATTTCTGTTAAAAATTTTACTAAGTTGATTATTTCTGGGGAAGTGTTTATCAATTAAATGAAGGTGGTCTACTTTGTATTGAGCACTTTTTTAAAAGTAAATGCTACGAACAGTGGAATTCTACACCATCTGTTCTTTCTCTTTGTATATATATTCTCTTTATCTTTGTATATTTGTATATATATATATATATATTTGTATATTTAGGCAGCAATCCTTCCTTTATGCATGTTTCATTAAAAAAGACTAAAAATAATGGAAGCTCTAATAATAAAAAAGAAAAAGCCAACTCTTAACAATATTAACTATGAACAAAGCCACAATGTGCTAACCGTATTCGGAAACTAAAACATCACTACCACACACTGAACATACATAGAACACACACTCTACTAAGCTGATAATTGAACCATCCTTGATAATGGCTAAAGTTATAGCCGAAAGCGCTCAAACACAGAACATTCAGACAGTTCTTACACACTTTTGTCCAGAAAAAGAAAGCTCTTGTCAGAACACAAGAAAAATTAAATAAAAAAGCTCAACTGTAGTACCTTGTCTGTCGTTTTAATGAAACATGCATATATATATATATATATATATATATATATATATATATATATTTAAAAGAAAAAACAGACCACTTTATATATATGTATATATATATATATATATATATATATATATATATATATATATATAGGTGATGGATAATTATATACGCATAATGCTTTTTATCTATTATATGATATTGAGTATTTTTACCATAAATATAAAATAACTAACTGAAACTATATTTTGATCATTCATTCATTCATTCATATATATATATATATATATATATATATATATAAATTCATGAATCATTCATACAAAAAACAAATATAGAGGTTAATGATTTAAATGGCGAGAATACATCATCGCAAGCAATATAAATAGGATACACCAACCCCGAACCTGTATATGAATGATATGATCCCTGTTCATAAATTCCAGTTGCATAAGGTCTTTTTAATTTTTTACAAGCTTTCGTCTGTTCCTACAGACATCCTCAGGTATGGAAATAGATTTTGTTCTTGTTTTTACTTCTCGGTAATAAGAGGACAACGAAAATAGAGATGCAATATATATATAGAGAGAGAGATGGATAAATTGTCGTCTAAATTACACCAAAATAAAAATAACACTGACATCTCATTTCATCAGATATATCTAACAAAATTACATAAAAATATCTTGAAATACTAAAGAGTAAATTTATTCAATAAATTCGCCATTGGCTTCAACCAAATCCTCAAGACGACTTGTGAATCTCCTGCAACTTTTCTGGGCGGTTTCTTTGTTTAAGTTGGTGAATGTTGCCATAATCCTTGCCTTCATTTCATTTTTGGCGTTACAAGGATTATTGTTGGTCTCTCGCTCAACTGCACCCCACACATAATAATCAAGGTGGGGGTTGCAGTTCGGGGAGTTAGGTGGCCAGATGTAAGGGATGATGTGGTCGCAGAAATTGTTTGACATCCATAATCAGGGTTACCTGCTTTTGTGGCATGATGCAGAATCCTGTTGCCAAACATAAATCCGACAATTATTTTAATTATTTATACTTAGTTCGTTTTATAATATATGATGTCATTTCTTTACGTTAAGATACGCTTCGAGCAGATATGAGCGTTCGAGAGAAATCATGGGAAATTTGTAGCTTAAGACAGTAATTTGACCTTGCTAACCAGCCTCTGTCGCTAAATGATACAGTACGTCAGACTATCTGACGGTTTCGTGTAGGATACAGGTTCGATTCCCGTCAGAGGGCTCAGATCGGTAAATGTTGTCAATATTAATTATTATAAACAGACCATTTACTTAAATATTTATATTTATAAAAATATCGTATAAACAGAAAAAAATTAAAATAGTTGTCGGACTTAGTTCATTTTATTTTATTTATATATATATATATATATATATATATATATATATATATATATATATATATATAGTGGTGGTGGTGGACTCTCCCGTCGTATTCGATGTATGAGGATCAAGCAACTCAGTTCCTATGAACCGACAGCCAGACACCAACACATGTGATTTAATTATATTGGTGAAGGCTTTGTTCAGAACACTCCACACTTTTTGAAGGGCCGAATACAGAGACCTGGTGCACTACGTGCCACAAGGTCCCCAAACGACCCTCCGCAGGTTTTGAATTCAGAGTTGTCCTTCTCCTAGACCAGCTGCCATCCAACGCTATAGAACCCAGTCTGTCATGCTATTTTACCCATAGCTGGGGGAAAAGAAGAGGATTCATACTTTTCCCAAGGGTAATTGCATGTAAGTGAATGTAATGGATTCGACCTGAATTCGAACTCGGTTCTCCGAGCCCTCAGTTATATATATATCAATAGAATACGAAGTGAATGAGGCTGGTTCGCTATAATGGGCGTGGCATGAAGGTTAGAAGTAGCGGAACTAAGGAATGTAGTTTGTGTGTACACTTTCTATTGAAATAGAGTTTTAGAGTGGAAAATAATTCATCACCCATAAGGACGTGGAGATATCATTGGAACTAGAATGTGGAGACTTGACAGCTCCTGCTTCTATATGGCAGTAATAGACCATTTTCGGCCTGTTCTGGTTCTTGTAAATGAAGCAGCGGGGAGCAGTGTACATACTGAAGCTGTATAATTACCAATCGTTTACCCAGCATCTTCGTTGGATCATATGTATGAGCAGCTGGGTTGAGTATAAATACCAACAGGCGCTCAAGGCAACGGGGACTTCTTGAGAGAACACCCGTTCATTGTGATAGATGAAAATTCAGGGTCAGCTCTATGTAACAACAGAATATTTTTTTTAACAATACATTGTAATAAAAGTTCTGTAACTAAAAGAAGATTCTTACTTACCGTAAACCGTAGCAATCTCAGTATGAGATTTCTTTCCTTAAGTCCAAAACTTTCACTTTTTACTTGCAGAAATATCTTTACGTCTTCTCTTTCACTTATACAAATTGCCAGCAATCACTATTCTTGCACAATGGAACAATTATTAAGAAAAATTCCTGAATTGTTAATTTCTTCTTTTTTTATTGGAATTTAATTTGAGAACCACGAATACAATATTTTACAAGTTCACATTCTAGCCTCTTTTCCAATCCTCACTCTAACCTTTTTCCTTACTTTCAAAACCGGCTCCCAAAGCCTTGATTCTTATCAGAGATAAGAATAT